TTTTTCTCATGCTTTGAGTAAACCTGATAATTGTTTGACAAGTTAAAAGAGCATATATTAGTTGTGATTTCTTGATGAGATACAATTAATGATTTGAATTTCTCTTGAAACTTTGAAAAATAACATATCTTAGAAATTGTTTTTTAGAGCTTAATTGATATATCCTCCATGATAACGAGACTTGGTTGCGAGATTATCATGCGTATTGGGTTTGGAAAAAATAATGATTGAGTAAAAATTACATTTGAATATATAAGTGGATTCCAAGTCCTAGTTCTTTCTCGTATTTGAAAACCTATTTTTAATCTCTTAATTTTTAGTAGTTAGTAAAATCTTTAGTTTTTGTTTAATTTAAGTTTTCTTTAAAATTATTCACTTTCATATTTAGTTGTTTCTTTTTAATATTAAATTTTGTCCAACTAGATTAGAAATATTCAATTGAATCTAGAATAAAATTCTTCACATAATCAAGTCCCTGTGGGATCGACCTCGTATTTGCGTTGCTATACTTTTGTACGGTTCGTGCACTTGCGAGTAAATAAAATATCACAACACACCCTACGGAAGATTCCAACACCAACACCGGAGGCAGCGTTCATGAGAAAGGAGCCACGGACTTCAAGGTCGACCTTCCGACCTTTGAAGGCAAGAACGAACCCAAGAACAAACCCGATGAGTTTCTAGAATGGCTCGAGACAGTTTAGCGTGTCTTTGATTTCAAAGACGTTCCCGAAGACAAGAAAGTGAAGCTTGTTGTCCTTAAGCTTCGGAAATATGCATCAACGTGGTGGACCAATACCTCCACCAAAAGAAGGCGTGAAGGCAAGGCTCCCGTAAAGACATGGCTAAAGATGCGTGCCTTGATGATGAAGAAGTTCTTACCCGAACAATATGTGAGGGATAACTTCGCCCGGTTATAACAACTAAGGCAAGGCACCCAGACAGTGGAGGACTATAGCCAGGAGTTTGAAGAGCTTTTGATGAGGTGTGACCTCCGAGAAGATGACTCGCAAACGTTGGTCCGTTATTTGTTTGGGCTTAACACCCAAATTTCCAACGTGGTGGAGTTACAAACCTACGACACCTTTGAGGAACTTTCCAAACTAGCTCTTAAGGTTGAGTCTCAACTTAAGAGAAACAAAACCCCTTTTGGCCATCCACCTCCCTTCTCAAAAAACACACAAACCACACCACGTACCACCCCCTATGCCACGGCCCAAACCCCCTCCTCTAACCCCAACTCCATCCCTCCCACTTCTAATAACCCGCCACCCCCAAAAACCAACCTACCCCACACCCGAGCTCCTAAATGCTTCCGTTGTCAAGTAATAGGTCATTATGCCAACGAATGCCCAAATAAGAACATTATGGCCATTGTGGAGTATGAAGAGGAAGGAGACAGCCCCTCTTGGGTTGATGAAGTTGTTAACCACTTGTCAGGTGACAACAAATTAACCTATTCCCCAATTACTACACACTTATAAAAATGGTAGCAAAGTTGTAAGTAGGGTCATTCTTCCACAGGGAGATTTATCTTCTATTATTTCTTCTCTTGATTTATTGCTCAGTTTCCACAACACACACACACACGCAAGGGGGGGGGGGTTGCTCATAAGATGCTAATGCTACGTAATGAAAACAGATTTTAACAGAAACAATGAGAACAGATCAAAGAAGGAGAGAGAAGATCATGTAAAGATTTGTGGTTATCAAGTGGAGTGAACAAGCTTATCTGGTGGAATTAGGAACAGTTACTCAGATCAAAGTAAAAAATCAGATTCTCAGTTAAACTAGTTGTTGAACAAAAGGGGATTTAGCTCTCTCAGCAAGAAGGTAAATCTCCACCTCAAAAATCAGTCCTTAAGAGAGATGAGCACTGCCTAAGGACCTGTACCTACGTTAATAACCTCAGGATGAGCCTGATGCAAATTAACATAAGCATGAATTCAGTTATAAAAAACCTTTTGAACATACAATATACTTGGGCAGCCAAATACACTATATGCCAGTTGTTGGACCCCAAATAAGAATTTCAGACTGAATAATTGAGGCATGAGACCTACAATCAACAGTTTTGAGAAGCTGAGCACAAAACAGGATTAAACAACCTTCAACAATTGTCTAAACCTCAAATCAAAGCAATGATCACAAATGCCTGAGACTCATCCTAAATTTCCACCAGACAAGAGAGGGATTACTCTCGGGACATGATCGTGATAATCAATTCACAATTTAAACACATGATCACAGGGAAATATTGTTCAAATAAGAGATCAGGACTCGGATTTGGATAGCACGAAATCACACATTCAATTATGAATCAACAATTCAAACAATCCTCAAATATCAAGACTGTATCTCGAATTTGGAAACAAAAACAATGAAGTACCTCTGGACAGCATTCGAGGATCAAATCCGGCGAACGTGATGACTCCCCTGTTCGGCTACAGTGCCTGATCAGGAGAAGTGCTTGGTAATTGTGCGACGGTTGATGATGATCGCGAGGTCTAACTCGCCGGATTGTGCCTGGTCGCCGGAATTTTTTTCTCCCGGTGAACCTTCGATCTCACCTTCTCTCTCTCTCGTTCCTTTCTCCTCTCACCCGTCACTGCTCTCTCTCACCAACTCCCTAAGTCTTATACTAACTAATGGGCCGGGTTGATTATTTTCACTTCGGGTCGTCTAGCCCGATTCTAACATTTAACCCAAAGGACCTAAAATAACACAAGAATAGCACTCTAACCTCTAGGATGGTCAACGTTCTTTCTTGATCTTAAATTAAACCAAATTCTCACTAATGGTGACCCAAAGATTAGTAAATGTAAGGGAATTTAAAGACTATAAAAGATCCTAACAAAATCCCCCACACTTACTTCTTGGCCGTCCTCGGCCAGGTTGCAGAATTCAAGTATAGAAAGCTCATCATCTCATTTCTGTACGTATATTCCTCCATTCTCTTACTCTAAAGTCCGACCAAATGAACATAATGTAGAATTTTCAACTTTCCCAACTCAAATTTCACCAAAATCACATGATGTAGTTCTCTTAGGAATGCTGACTGTTTAAATTGAATCTAGAGTAGCTGACTTCTTTTTCATGAGAAGGTGATCCCACAATCCTTTTTTTGAATGAGGCCAAAGTCCCAATTGTCCTTACTGTTACTAAACTGCCCCTTTTCAACCCTCAAGCTACAATTCTCCAACTCCCATGTAACAAGATATTTGGTCAAGCTACCCCAAGCCCATTCCTGATAGCCCGGGACTTAGATAATCAAGGTATCCCATGGACCTCACCCGAGAGAAAGAGAATTGAAAAACTGAAAAATGTGTAGGAGTTTCGGGATTGAGTATGGCCCAAAACAGGGGTTTGCCCTTCCAATTGAACTCTGCTCCATACACATTTAGTTTCCTTTCGGAATCTGTTGCTTAAGGGGACAGAGATGCCGGGCCACCAATGCTAAGTCCAAGAGGTTTTTCCCACACACATTCAGGCTTAAGAGTCTAGAGAGGTAGCAAAAAACAGTTTGGGTTAGGACTTAATGACTCCACTCTAAAGGTTGCTGTTTAAGGGTGTTCTCAATCAATAAAATCAACCAAACACCTAAGGATCCAACTCAAAACAGCCAGGCTAACAGTCACTAAAAAAAATTCTGCACCAGAATTTTAGTGCAACTCAATTTTGGAGTTTGAAAGCTGTACAGTGCTCAAATGGACATTCCAGAATAAGAGACAGAAGCAATATTCATTCAGACATTCTAAGAAGCATTTCCCTTCCTGGTGGTCCCAAAGTGGTGAAATACAAAGTCTAGAGGGGGGGGGGGGTGAATAGACATTGTTACAGATTTAAAATCTTTTTCGTTTCTTTTGAAAACGTGAAAATGAGTGTTAATCTAGAGTCCTTGTGAACTTTAGATTGTGTGCGGAATTTGGTGGGTAGAGTGAGCAGTAATCAATATGGATAGGTTAGTTTTCACGGTTAATATAATTGCAAGTAAGAATAAAGATAAGAGAGAGAGACACGCAAACTTTAACGAGGTTCAAAGGTGGGGTAATCCTTCTACGTCCTCAAAATCCACTATGTAGTTGGTTGTTGAATAATGAACCAACAATTACACTTGTGTGAATTTCTGCACGGTATATCTTCACAAGACCAATGTTGCTACTGCACTCGTGCTGGCTTTGTTGTTCCTTCGAAGGTCAAGCTTCTTTAACAACTGCAAGGTCCGAACAATAGGACTTGCAAGATCAACTTGTAAGAGAGTTGACCTACCCCCTTTTAATCAGTAAGTTTGATCAAAAGTAATATCCTTCATCGTGGTGTGGTGCTTGAGGCAAGAAAACTTTCAAGTGTTTACACTATAGCTCTCTGGAAGGAGGAGAAGTTTACTTCTGGATAAGGAGTTTAGAAATCTCTCTTTATCAAGCCTTTTTTTTGTGCTAACTGTGAATGAGATGGATTTGTTGTGTTGTTGTATCTCCTTTTATATCTGTGTATTTGATATCAGTCTTCCAAGGATGCTATTTATAGCTGGATTGGATAATCTATTCGTTGAATCATAATAGACTATCCGTTCCATTTGCTGGCTTCAATTTTGAATGAAGATTGTGATTTGAAGATTCCTCATTGGAATGGGTGTTTGGACATACCCATTTGTTTAAAGGAGAGATTCCTTTTTCCATAGAGTCCGTCTTCTAGCTGCTGTTCGAGTATTCTGGAATGTAGAACTTTACTCTGTTTGTCTTCTAGAGCTTGTTTAGGAATTCTGGATAAGTTCTTCAATTCTTAGAGGATTAGACTTTGTCTTCGAGTCATTTGTTCTTGAATCAGCATAATTATCTTCAATCTAGCCGTTGAAAATCAAGAGATTGATTTTTCCTTACCAACGGGTAGAATTTCTTCATTCAAGACTTAGATAATCTTCTAAGTCTTTTCTTACTTGTCCGCTTTTTGAGAATTCCGGTCTTCCTTGAGGCATCCGGTTCTTAGCTGACAAATCCGGAGGAGTCATTCTCAGACTTCCGGGTGAGAAAGAGATCTGCGCTAGTCTTCCGATTTGGGTGACTTAGCCTTTAGCGGGTTGTAGCGAGACATCCGGTTCTTATGTAGTCTTCCGGATTAGAGGATTTTCATCTGCTTGAGAAATCCTTACTTGTCTCTAGCATTTTCGATTAAGATATCCAATTTCCATATCACTGAATTTGATTAAGTCTTCAGGCATCAAAACTCTTAAAGAAATATCATAACCTTATTGGAAATCTCAAGAACTTGGTTTTAACAATATTTCTAAAAAGAAAAAATTACATTGAATATTGGGGGAGACCTAAAGTCCCTATTACATTCTAAATACATCATCAACAAAATCTATGATATTTTTCCCAACAATTTCCCCCTTTTAGATGATGACAAACAAGTATTTAAGAGTTTCGGTCGCTGTACTGAGAACTAATTTTGTAGCTTTCTTTTAGTTTCTCATAATATACAGCTTGTTAACAAAAACTCTTAAACAAATACAATTAAAATTACAATAATTCCTAAACCAAGTCTTGTCTTGAGATTTTGTGATCTCTTCCGCCATTGACCGTTTTCAGCTTCAGCAGATTCTGCTTGGCAGAGCGGTTGGCGTTGTGTTTGATAGATCTTTAATATCCAAAGTGGATATTTAAGATCTTGGAAGCAACACATCTCTCAAAATAAGAAGAAAGATAGAGAGTGTGTTGTTCCAGAGAAGGTGTATGGTCTAATACTGAAAAATACGAGATTTCCAACATAGACCTTCTCTACTGCCGAGATTCTCACCATAGACCTTAAAAGTCTTTTCTTCTCAATAGGCTTCTTCCAATGCCGTCTATGAGGGTGAGAAAGAAAAATTTCTCCATTGAGGATATTTTTCTTGGTGTGTTTCTTAGACAGTGAGTTTGAGGACTTTTCATATTGAGAGAGTTGTTTGTGATGGAAATGGATTAAGATATCTTGATTTAAATAGGAGAAGAGAGGGTTCACGGGTTCCATTAATTTGGTAGGTGGAACGGTGAGAGTAAAAGAGTTTCAACTTCCAAAAAGTTGAAAAGTGGAAGGAATCTTTTACCAATTACCAATGAGTTGAAACTGTTCCAATTTAAAAATCAGTTTCGTTTGGTTTGAGAATCATAACTGTTTTAGTTTGGCTAAGCCCAAAAGAGTGGCCCAAAAAGAACAGAAAGCTACGTATTAAAGGGAAATTATTCCTATTGGGTTCTCAAGGCCCAAAATAAGACTATCGTTTTTCATTCCCTATAGTTCTAATTTCTACTTAGGACGAGGTAGCACCAAAACAAATATGAATATTAATTTTTAAAAGAAAAGTGGTACTATTTTTCCAAAGTCCTGTACATTTTAAACATCCTAGGGACCAGTACTTTTAGAGCTTGTTGGAAATGAATTAAGGACTGAAGCTTAGTTTAAGAAGGCAGATTTTGTAAAGTACCTGAATCGGAGATTTCCAATTTTAGTACCAAAACTGAGATATCCGTCTTCCATTGCTTTGAGCTTATCAATAATTCATTGTCAAAAACAATTGTTAGCCAAAAACTAGTTAAGTTCCCCCTGAATGTATGCGCTTCACAAAAAATTCTCAGAATCATATTTGAGATAAGTATAGTCAAGCATAATTAAGAAAATTGTTGAAGCAATATTGCAATGTTTAAACCAATCAAGCAATATTTAAACAAGAAGGTGTTTGCATCAAAACACATTAGTGTTCTCACATACTTTCCCCCTGTTTTGATGAAAAGAACCTTCAGTTTCTCTTGCGCTTTGAAGATCCGGAAACCTCACTAATGCCCCTCATGTTCCCACACAGTTCTTTGATGCGCCTTAAATTTTCACTTCTTTCTTCAGATTGAGCATCATTTGAGAAGTGGTCAGCAACTGTACCTATAAATTCTGTTCCATCCAGTCCTGAGCTGGATAGGAGCTGTGCTGAGTTTTCCGGATTTCTTTGCTGTGCTTCAAGGATTAGATTTGTCAAGTTCAGATGAGAAGGAATATAAGATACTTCTCCTTCTTTGACTGCAATAGGGAGCTGTGGTATTGGAGATGGACTGTGTTCTTGGAGAATTACTTCCATCTTGCGGTTTCCAGAATTTGCGCCAATAAGTCTGAACAGCTTGTATGCTTCCTTTTGATTGTCAATGATCACCTTCAAGTAGTCTTTGGTCACTACCTGATTTGCAGAAGCTACTGCTAGGGCTGATCTGATGTCCATTTGGAGAAGGGACATCTGTTTTTGGAGACTAACTGTGACACTCGCTATTTGCTCTTTGACTTTGTTGATCTCTTTGAGTTGAAGTTGACTGTCAGAGGCATATATTTCCATCGTGTTGCTCACAGTTTCACTCAATAGAGAGATAATCTCCAGAGTCTTCTGCACTCATTTGCTTATTTCTTTGAGATCTGCGCTGTGTTTTCCTTCAGATTTCTCTATCAGTTGGGTGTGCCTGACTTCCATTTGCTCTATCTCTTGCCTAAAGGAGGCATGTTGAGATGCTAGGGAATCAGCCCTTGGACCTTCTTTGTCCAGATTTCCGGTATTTCATCCGGAAGAGTGGGGGTGGAAGAGCTATGGAAATGAAAATTGGTTACCTGATGAGATGGTGGTGTTCTTTGGAAGAGTTGCAGAGGAAGAGATTTAGCATCTTCTTGTACATCTTCTTCATCAGTATCCTTCAGTGTTCTTTCAGACTCTCCTTCTGCTTCATCAAGCGCAAAATTTGATATATCCCTAGAGAGGGAGTCTCTTTCTTCAGCTGTATTCTCTTCTTCAAAAATAACTACTGGAGTTTGAGAGACCTCTAGTTCTGCCATTTGAGTTTCCTTTTCAGCTTCTCCAGAATTCCTTTGTGCTTCAACAGCTTGCTCCATTGTTTCTGGAAGAGCTGACTATTCCGGAATTTCTACTGACTTCTCCGAGATCTCAATTTCAGTAGGATTGGAGATCTCACAAGGAGTGGTGAGAATCTCCAAAACTTGAGATCGGATTAGTGGCTGAAATTCTTCTTCTTCTGCTGTTTCCTGGTTCTGTTCTTGTCGGGGTGAGGTTGCCTTCTCTTCTACAACTTCAGTTAGAACCATTTCAGAAACATGTGAGGTTTCCGGAAGTGTTTGGAAATCTTCAGTTGCTGCTTCCAAAAAAACTTGTGCTTCAGAAGTGAAAACCACTTGATCTTCTGTGTCTTTTGAGAAGATTGACTTGAAGACTGCAGGATCTTCATCATCTGCTTCAAAGTCAGAAACTGGTGTGTTGGCCAGGTATTCCAGATGCAAGTCTTCAGAATTCCTTTGCCATACCCAGTAGTCAACCAAAATTTGTTCACAGTTGTGGTTGACTGGTATTCCTAAGCACTTTTTGATGATCTTCTCATTCTTCAGTTGTTGGTCCCAATTCAACAGTTGCTCTGCTGAATTTCCAACTTTCCAGGCTTTCCAACCATAGTAGAGCTGCCAGAATTGGTTATCTGCATCATCTCTTTGAGGTTGAGTTGATGAGGTTGGAAGGCTTTGGACTTGAGGAATTTCTTCATCAAGTTGTTGAGGGCTCCGGTTTTGAGCAGAGGTTTCCTCAGCAGGTTCCTTCTCCTTCAACTCATCCGGATTGACATTTCCAGATGTTGATGGGGAGTTGATCTTCCTCTTCTTCTTCCTTTGAAGTTCTCCTTGGTCAGAGGATTCTTCTTCTTCTTCAAGATTTATTGGAGCAAGATTCTGTGGTGCTTCATCACTGGGAGAAGGAGACACCACATGCTTTCTCTTGGTAGTCTTTGTGAAATTGATGAGTGGAACATTGTCTGATGAGCTTTCTTCTGTAGTGGCACTAGCACTAGCTCTGTTTTCTCCTTTGGAGGATAAGTAGTATAGCCAGTATCTGGCTTCATACTTTTTCCCTTTAATTGCAGCGCCCATAGATTCCAAAATATGTCCAACATACAGACCTTGACAGAGATACTTCTTATTGTGCTTTCCTAGATGTTTTGAAATGGATTTGAAAAAGTGTGCAGCCCAGTTTACCTTAGTTTTGGTAATGAGAGAATTGATGATGAAGGCTCTCTCCTGGGTGATGTCATCGGCATGACCTCCACTTCCACATTCGAGGCAAGCGATGACCAGTTCCAAAACCAACTTGTAATCATTGTTTAGATCTGCTTTCTTCGCTGGGCCAGAAGGAACTTGCCCAGAGATTCCAATGATGTTCCAGTCCAGATTTTTGTCTGGAAATTTCCCAACTTCAACTCCAGGATTGGAAAGGCGAAGCTTTTCTCCCAATTTCATTTGTGAAAGCTTCACTTTTGTACCTCCAACAGTGGACTTGATGACTGGAAACGTCTTCTGTGGGTTCTTCTTTGAATGAGTAGTTTTGAACTCTCCATTTCTGTAGAATTCAAGAACTTCTTCCTCGAATTTGAGGCGAATCTCCATTGGAAGAAATTCGGAGACTTCTTGAGCGGCTATCATTTGCAGATAGCTTTGAAAGAATGTTGGTGATGAGCACTTGGCTTCTAACTTCTGGAAGTGAACATTTGCACCGACAACCTTCATTTTCTCAGAAAATTTAGAAGATCTGAAGAAATTAGGGTTCTTGAGAATTTTATCAGAAGATTCTCGTGAAGAAGGCGATGAAAGATTTGAGTGTGCTGAGTGGGCAGTTGAGGTCTGATTATAGTGACGATTGGGTTTAATGTGGGTGATTTATGCGGCTAGTGGCGATTGGGTTTTTAACTGTTCCCAAGGCCACGTCCCCACCCATCATTTTGACAGACGTGGAAAATGAACTGCCACGTGCACCACACTCAGTCTAATTGAATTAGACCAATTTTGTGAAGCAAATCGGAAAACTTGGCTTCACTTAGTGGTTTGGTGAAGATATCCGCTAGTTGTTCTTCAGTTGACATATACTCAATTTTGATATCTTTCTTTTCCACATGATCTCTGATGAATTGATGCTTGACATCAATGTGCTTAGTGCGAGAATGATGCACTGGGTTTTGAGAGATGGCTATGGCACTTTGATTGTCACAAAAGATTGTCACTTCCTTTGTCTTGACTCCATAGTCCAGTAGTTGTTGCTTTAGCCACAAAACTTGAGCACAACTACCAGCTGCAATGTACTCTTCTTTTGCTGTTGATGTAGAAATGGAGTTTTGTTTCTTACTGAACCAAGAAACAAGATTTCCACCAATGAATTGACAAGTACCAGATGTACTTTTCCGGTCAACTTTGCATCCGGCAAAGTCAGAATATGAGTATCCCACTAACTTAAATGAATTGCTCTTAGCATACCACAAACCCATGTTCTGAGTTTCTTTGAGGTATCTAAGAATCCTTTTAGCTGCTATCAGATGACTTTCCTTTGGCTTTGACTGGAATCTGGCACAAACTCCTACTGCATATGAGATATCTGGACGGCTTGCAGTAAGGTAAAGTAGAGATCCGAAAATTCCTCTGTAGAGAGTTTGATCTACATCCTTTCCATCTATATCCATATCAAGCTTCGTGGATGTATTCATGGGGACACAAACGGATGATTTCTGATCAACTTTAAACTTCTTGATAAGATCCCTTGTATACTTAGCTTGATTGATGAGAGTGCCTTCACTTTTCTGTTTGATTTGAAGGCCAAGGAAGTAGTTGAGTTCCCCCATCATGCTCATCTCAAATTTTCCTTGCATGAGGGTTGAGAACTTGGTGCATAGATCTTCCTTAGTTGAGCCAAATATGATGTCGTCCACATAGATCTGAACTAATAGGAGATCTTCTCCATCTCGTAGTATGAACAATGTCTTGTCAATTACTCCTTTGGTAAATCCATTGTCTATAAGAAATTGAGACAATGTATCATACCAAGCTCTTGGTGCTTGTTTGAGTCCATACAGCGCCTTTTTGAGTCTATACACTTGATCTCCCTTAGTGTGTAACTCAAATCCTGGAGGTTGTTCTACATACACTTCTTCCTCTAGGTTTCCGTTGAGAAATGCGCTTTTGACGTCCATTTGATAGACTTTGAAGTCCTTATGAGCAGCAAAGGCTAGAAACAACCTTATAGCTTCAAGTCTAGCAACAAGAGCGAAGGTTTCATCAAAATCTATACCTTCTTCTTGACAATATCCTTTTGCAACTAACCGGGCCTTGTTTCTGACAACAACGCCGTTTTCATCCATCTTGTTCCGGAAGACCCACTTTGTTCCAATGACATGTTGATGAGTAGGTCTGGGACCAAGTTTCCAGACATCATTTCTGGAAAACTGGTTGAGTTCTTCTTGCATTGCATTGATCCAATCAGAATCAGCTAGAGCTTCTTCAATATTCTTTGGTTCTACTTGTGAGATGAAACAAGCAAGCATAGCTTCTAGATTCTGTTGGGCACTCCTTGTGCGAACACCAGATTGAATATCTCCGATGATCTGTTGAGGAGGATGAT